GCCGCGCACAGGATAGTATGACACCTGAAGTTACCATCAGTTATCCAGAAGCCAGGATGGAACTTGATCGTTACCTGAAAGATTTCCTTGCCTTGCCCTCGAACAGAAAGTTTTGACATTTTGAACTGGTGGAAGGTTCACAGTTTGGAGTACCCAACCATGGCTCGGATGGCAAGGGATGCTTTGGCCATGCCCACATGCAGCAGAGCTTTCTGCTGAGCAGATCGCTCATGTGAGGAGCATCATTCGTGGTTACTCCAAGGAGTATTATAAACATCAAGTAGGTCTGGTGTAATAAAGCAGCTGCTCATGTAATAAGGGCGGCCCACTTGCCAAAGTTTCCAAGTTTAATAGTGTTTCAACCTTTGTGCAGTAATAATAACCAACACATCATCATTTATGTTGTTGTTTCAAAATGTTGTACATGCAAACAGAGATGCCATGATTGTTGAAATGACTGGATGGTTAATGTATGATCTATCTTTAGTGATGAAACAGACTGTTGTAAGAATGTGTGGTACTCTTGAATAGGAATCCATATATAAGGTATTGGTGGCAGCTCCAAGGAAGGGTATAGACAACAAATAGATGTAACCTAATGGTGCTGAGCAACTCACATGAGGTTAGGTGTCGTGGCAACGTTCCTCACTTTGATACAGTGGCGGAGCCAGAATTTTGAAGTTAGGTATTCCGAGGTCCAAAAAATATTCAATGCATAGCAGCGTAGGTTTTAAATATAATTCATAATAGTAGTATTCTATCCCACAAACTCTTCAACTAAACTGTTTTCTTATTCATTTTGCACACCGAAAGTAATCTATACGAAAAGTATATGGTTAACTAAAAATCACTAGCACCAGCACACATTCACATTCGTAAAGCCAAATCGGTATTCGGTAAATCCCTCACCGTTGGTGGTCTTGCCGTCCTGGTGGTCTGCAAGCCTGGTGCGGTGGTGCCTGGTGGGATCGTTGGCGCGTCGGTGTCCTGGACGCCGGGGCGCTCGGGCACTGTGGCGCTGCCACGTGCTGGACGCTCTGCCCCTCAAGGCAGTCCTAATGGTTGAAAATACGCACAATTTTAATAACAGCCATGTCAGTTTGAAACCATTTCTAAAAAACACCTCACACAGTGCTGATTTCTTTCCGTAATAAATGTTACATTTTTTTCTTTCTCTCTCCAAACTCTATCTTTTTCCTCCGACTACTACTTCTCTTCTTCATCGAACAAGGACAGCGAGGGGAGAGGAGGCCGTTGGTCGCTGGCGCAACAAGGGGCGGACGGCGGGCGTAGCCTAGGCGGAGGCACGGACGGCGATGGCTACGCGGACGGCGCACAGCTTGGTCGTCGACAAGCTTGGTCTAAGCTCGTGCTCGCCCTCACGGAGCTCGTGCTCACCCTCACCATGGATCTCGCAAGCACAGATCCGGTCGTGAGGCCAGGACGAGCGCGTGCCGTGAGCGGCGAGCGCGCAACGGCCGACAAGCGAGAGCGCGGCGGCCGACGGGTGAGCATGGCTCGCCATCGCGAGCCCCATCTAGATAGAAACTACTGGTTTCCTCCTAACGCTAAAATTATGGTGTTTTCTGCCTCGGTTCGAGAGTAGACATGGTTTCCTTCCTAAGAAACGGTTTCCTTTATTTTGCTTCTCTTTCATCGTTAAGCTGTCATGTCAGTATTTTGCTTAGGTGATAAGTGATTTAGTAGAGATAGAAACCACCGTTAACGTCGTATTGGACCTCGTGCCCCCCTGCCGCTAGGAGCCTCAATTCGGTAGGCCCCGGCCGCCCCACTTGGCCGCGTCCACGACACCTGTCCTGCCGCAGCTCGTCGGGACTGGAGTCAGGAGAACCGAAGAAGGCGAGAGGAGCGGGATTGGGGATTTTGCCGAACAGCTGAAGCCGAAGTGGCGAACGGACTACTGGACGACCTCGCCATCGAGGAAAAGCGAAGCCCAACTTCTCAAAGCCCCATGATACTTCGGCCCAACTCGACCAAGCCCACGGTCACTGGTGGGCCTAAGGCGTCCGAAGAGCATGTTCTCAAAGTTTCCTCCTTTTTTTTCTGTTCTCAACTTTGCATAGATATAGACACCCTTCATGGAAAGGAGACATTTTTTACATCAATCATCGAGCCAAAACAAATACAATTTCTGAACAAACATCTACACCAACAACTTTTTTATACTATTTAGAGAATTAGAGAAAGAAAACAAAAACGCTTTGCGGACTCCGATGCGTGCTCACTAACTTTTTCCGGCCGTTTCGTTTTCGACGCCGCCTTTGTTTCAGTTCGCAGCGACCAAGTTCGAACGAAATTTGCTAGTAGAGGTAGAGTAAAGCGAGATGGATTAGGTAAGTGTTACTTGCACAAGCAGTTGGACACTGGACACAGCAGAAGGTCAGCAGCCTGCGCCTTTGCTTTATCCTTTATATCTCGCATTGCTATCGCCATTGCCCTGGACCTGAAGCTGAACGCGACGTCTGTTCATCCCATTTGTAATTGGTTAGCTGGAAGCAGCACTGGCTTGCTTGCTTCTGGGCTCTCAACAGTGACAGGCAGCAGAGGCAGCTCAGCTAGCTAACCGCTTTCCGCCACTCCCTGTCTCGCTGTGATAATCACTGTTCACCATCCGTCCATTATCCAATACATTTTCTTTGTGTGTTCTGTTTTTGTTTTTTTTATGATGATGATGAATGAATTATGTCAAACAAAACCTGCCTGCTTGACAAATCTTCAGAAACAGATATAGTTCGTCCCTTTGACCGAGAGAGCATTATTGGGATGATTTTTTTTTGTATTATTAGTATTGCTTATCATTTGGGGTCGGGGTCGTGCTCGTGGCGAAGACCACGGGATTTTGATTTAGGATTTGACAAATCCTGAGACGAACGGGTGACTGACCGGACCCAGTACAAGTACGCGTGTGAGCTGAGACTGCTGCTGCCGTCGGTCAATTCCATGCTGCTGCTGGTGCTAGTTGGACCTGCCACGGGTCTACCGGCCGCATCGGCTCAGTGGGGCACCATTGGTTTCTTTCTTTTGTCTGTTTTTTTTAATCCATCTATGATTCTCTACATGAGTTTCCATTAGCGTTTGTTTTAGTGCCTCTTGTTCCTTTTCCTTTTGGGTACCCACCGAGGGTACCACGATCTAAGGGACATCAGGACATGGTATTCTTTGTGCAACCCATTTTTCATTATTAAATCTTACCGATGAATGAGTCTCTCTCTCTCTCTCTTTTAAAATTTTAAGACTACGTATGTATGAGTCCTGACTACTGGTTTAATATAATTTTAGAAGTGCTTGTTGGTAAAATTAATAAAATTAAGCTTGTCTTTGAATGTAAGTTTTTACATGCTTAAATTTTCACCAAATCAAGGCATGTATGTTGTACAAAATCTTGTCGTCTTGTCATAAAACATTACTCCTTCTGTCCAAAACCTAACAATGGAGTCTTAGATATGGACCAAATCAAATTTTCTTATGTTTGAATATATTTAATAGTATTAATATTTATGTTTTCAAATAAATTTACTATTTATCTAATAATATAATAAATGTCAATAGTTTTTTTTATAGATTTGATCAAATTTAAAATTATTTGACTCCTCGAAAGCGAGGTTTATAATCTTTTCGGACACTAGAAGTACAACGATATACTACCAGCATTAAAGGTCCGTTTAGATCCTCAGTTAATAAACTAGCTAGGGTCTTATCTGCCACCAAGCTAACAATGAGCTATTAGCTGATTAACACAACTAGTAATTAATAATAAGTTACCTATTAGCTGTTAGCTGATTAGGTGGACCCAAAAATGACCTAAGCATCTATGTCGAATAAATCTAGGCGGATTAAGGCCCTGTTTGGTTCCAAATAAGTCACCTACTTATAAGTTAAAAAGTGAAAAAAGTGACTTATTTTGCCAAACACCACCAACTTATAAGTCACCCCTGCTTATAAGTTTTAAGTTATTCACCCCTACTTAAAACTTATAAGTCACCCTTTTCGTGGGCCCATTTTATTTAATGAGCTTATAAGTTCATCTACAAAGCGCGACGACTCACCTGGTTTTAACACCGATTTAATAAGTCACCTGACTTATGGAAACCAAACAGGGCCTAACACTCGTAAAACAATCTTTAAAAGGCGTATAAACTCTGCCACCTCGTCTCGATACTTTGATTGAGAAGATTTGCAACAATAAAAACAAAAGAAGAAGATACGAGCAATTATGCAGGAGAAATGGAGAATAAATTTCGTGGCATCAATGAACGTGGAGGGGGAATTCTTCAGCGCGGGGTGCATCGCAAAACACGTACGCCAAGAATATTTACTGCCGACGGAGCCTATCCGTTCTCACGATGAAATTTGGATTTGGTCCAACCAAAAAGGACCTCGCCGTCGTCTTTAATTTCCTCGCCCGATTTGGCTCTCGCTCGCCCACCACCTACTGTGCCTGTCTCCCCCTCCCCGTCGTCCCGTCTCCCCCTTCCTCCACTGCCCCTGCACCGGCTGCCGGGAAGAGACCGCACCAGCGCCTCCGCGAGTTCCACCCCAATCCCCCACACCTTCCCGCACCAACAAATCCGCCCAATTCGCGGGCTCTCGCGTCGCCTCCCGGGCCACCCCGGCGGAAATTCGTGACAAAGCCGCGATTTTTTTTTCTTGGGTTCGCCCTTTTGCTTTCGTTCCCCGCCGGCCCTTTTGCTTTCGCCTCCCGGGCCACTCCGCCGCGGTCTGCCCCTTTATTTCTGCTCCTGATCGTGTTTTCTCGTCGGAAGGCGCGGTTTTTCGAGGGCGGCGATCGCAGATTCGCCTCCGGAGGCGTTGATTCGGTCCCCAGGTGCGGTTTTGCCCCCAATTTTGCTTCAGGTGAAGGGATTATGGATTTTCGTTTCTGTTTCTGACGGTGTTCGATTTGTTCAGGTGGAGGAATTATGGATTTGGGGAGATTTCTTTAGCGCGGTTTTGATCGGGGCTTACACTTACAATCCGTCATGATTAAGCAAATCCTCGGCCGGCTTCCCAAGAAGCCGGCCAAGTCCGGCGAGAAGGAGCTAGCCGGCGCGGGCCCGTCTCTGCCCAGCCCGACGTCCGATGCGAGGACCACCACCGATTTGACCATGTCTAGCAGGCTCGTCAATCCCAGCAATTACGCCTCCACGGCCACAAATCCAGGCCAGAGCGACGCGGCCAGGGCCGGCGGCCTCGGCGCCGGCGTCAGCAACGGGTTCGTGGCCTCATCAGCAGGGTACGAGGCGCTGCCGAGCTTCAGGGACGTGCCAGCGTCCGAGAAGCCCGGGCTGTTCCTCAGGAAGCTGGCCATGTGCTGCGTGGTGTTTGACTTCGTGGACCCGACCAAGGACGTGCGGGAGAAGGAGGTCAAGAGGCAGACGCTGCTTGAGCTGGTGGATTACATCACCTCGGCCACGGGCAAGTTCCCGGAGCACGTCGTGCAGGAGGTCATCAGGATGGTGTCTGTGAATCTGTTCAGGGTGCCGACCCCTGCCCCGAGAGAGAACAAGGCGCTCGAGTCGTTCGATATGGAGGAGGAAGAGCCCGTCATGGACCCGGCATGGCCGCACTTGCAGATTGTGTATGAGCTGTTCTTGAGGTTTATTCAGTCTCCCGAGACGGACGCGAAGCTGGCCAAGAGATACATTGACCACGGTTTCATTATCAAGCTTCTTGATCTCTTTGACTCGGAGGATCCTAGGGAGAGGGAGTACTTGAAGACGATCCTTCACAGGATATATGGCAAGTTCATGGTGCACCGCCCATTCATCAGGAAGGCGATTAATAATATCTTCTACAGGTTTATATTTGAGACAGAGAAGCATAATGGTATCGCAGAGCTGTTAGAGATTTTGGGGAGTATAATTAATGGATTTGCTTTGCCGCTCAAGGAAGAGCACAAATTGTTTTTGGTCCGAGCACTGATTCCGCTCCACAAACCGAAATGTGTTGCCATGTACCTTCAGCAACTGTCGTACTGTGTAACTCAGTTTGTTGAGAAAGATTGCAAGCTTGCTGATACTGTCATAAGGGGTTTACTCAAGTTTTGGCCCATCACAAATAGCTCAAAGGAGGTGATGTTTTTGGGTGAGCTGGAGGAGGTGCTGGAAGCTACACAGCCAGCAGAGTTCCAGAGGTGTATGGTGCCACTTTTTCGTCAGATCGCCCGCTGTTTAAGCAGTTCTCACTTTCAGGTAAGAAGGGATAGCATACTGCCAATTATACCATAAACATAGAATATGTGCTTATAGCTCACGGAAGTTCTCATCTTCAAATTATCATTGATTTCTGGCTTATTGCTTGGGACATGACTCTTATCATTTATTCGTTTATAAGTGCAAGTCAACTAAGCTGTAGCAAGCAATATGTGTAAAGTGCATACTATTCTGTTGATGTTGATACATAAATAGTCATATTGACCTTGAGCCTCATACTAGCTGCCACTTCCACGTGATGGAATAATAGTAGTGTGGGAACTTTGTCCAGTGCCCACTTCGTTTATTTTATTTTATTTTTACTCCAGAACCAAATAGTTATTTTTTTTCTTCTAATCAAATCGTAACTGGACCTGTTTATTCTTCTATTTGTTCCTTGTTGAGTTAGGCTGTTAATTCTAACTGGTATTTGAAACTGCCTTTGTATTTATTTGGATTCCATACCATGATGACAAAATTAGTCTCTCTTCAAGTATCTTGAGAGTTATACTTATTGGAAGAAGCATGGGAAATGTTAGTGATGAGAAAATACTGTAAAAAATGGGTCCTGCTGGATTAAGTATAGTTTGCTATATGAAAGCCAATATTATTGTCGTCATAATTCAATTTCATACCATTATATTGCATCTCTGTAAGACCCTGTTAGCGTCCAACAATTTGCTCATCCTATTTTAAATGATGGCTTACGTGCTTCTCATTTTTACTGTTCAGTAGCACTGTCTGGTTTCCAAGTTGGATGCCAAACACAGAGTACATACAAACTTTGTTTCATTCCATATCATCTCAGTGCACCCAATTGTTAGGTTGATGAAACCGCATGTCTGTTATGGAGCATGCCAATTCACGTCTTCCAATTAAATGACTTTTCTTGCCTGAGTGAGGCAGTTGAGGAAATAAGTAGTCATGGCCTAGTTTCCTTGTTTCAAGAGTTTCCAGAAGGCACAAACAGTTGATTCTTTAGGGCGTACCTAGTGCAGAGAGCTCCCGCACTGTGCGGAGTCTGGGGAATGGTATTAGTGGTAAGCCTTACCCTCGCCTGTGCAATGCGAGGAGACCGCGACTCGAACTCGGAACCTTCCGGTCGCAGGCGCTAAGACTCTACCGCTTGCACCAGGCCCGCCCTTCGAACAGTTGATTCTTTGACCGCAGAAAATCATGTTCAACTCATGGAGCGTTTTCTCACGGTTGAGAACAACCATATGTTCCATGGTCTTTTACCTGATGACATATTGGGTGCTTTCCCAGAATCAGTCATAAAACAAGAGATGTCTTGTTGTGATTCCATCCAACTGTTTTCTACAGAAGCTAACATTATATAATTTCTTCTTTTGTTCCACAGGTGGCAGAGAGGGCTCTCTTTCTATGGAACAACGATCATATTGAGGGTTTGATCAAACAGAACAGTAAGGTTATACTGCCCGTAATCTTTCCAGCGTTAGAACGAAATACGAAAGGCCACTGGAATCAGGCAGTTCAAAGCTTGAGTCTAAATGTTCGCAAAATATTCATGGACCATGACCCAACACTGTTTGAGGAGTGTCGCAAGAAGTTTGAGGAAGAGGAAGCTCAAGAAGCTGGCGTGAGGTCAAAACGTGAGGCTAGATGGAAGCGCCTAGAAGAAATCGCCTCGTCAAAGTCTCCTCAGTGAAGTAGCACATCTTCCTGAGGCTGTTGTTCATCAGCAGAGTTCTCTAGCTATCTAGCCTTGATGACTGCATATGAGCAGCTCTTTTGGGCAGGATCAAGTAAATGCTGATGTAGGTGCCCCATGGATGGCTAATTGCCTCGAGTTACTCGTTACCGAACATTTTACAGGCTGACATGTAAATACGGGGTACATGATGGGATGTGATCACACAGGACAGGTTACTACTAGCTTGTTTTACTATTTTATTTCACGGGATCTCTGATCACATAGGACACGTTACTACTATAGAATGACTTTACATGGGTCTCAAGTCCATCTCTCTCAATGCATCATCTATTACGTTATGTGATAGACCCTTTATGAATTGATCTGTCAAATTCTTAGATGCATGGACATAGTCCAACGCTATTACTCCAGAGTTTCTTAGTTTTCTGATAGATTTCAACCGTCTTTTCACATACCTCGAAGACTTTATGTTATCCTTAGAACTGTTCACTTTGATTATCACCGTCTGATTATCATAGTTCATGGAAATAGTCGAGTATCGGTTTTTCAACTACCAGTAAATTCTTAAGGAGTTCACGAAAATCACTATGTTGTGAGTTTTGTTTTCATTGTTGGCCTCATTAAGATGGTATGCTTGCAAGATTTTCATGAAACAGTGCCACTAAACCCTAAACCCGGGGGCGCGATAGAGACCTAGACTAGATATACTCCCTCTATCACAAATTATAAGTCATTCTAGCTTTCTTGTAGAGTCAAAATATCTCAAGTTTGACTAAATTTATATAATAAAATAATAATATTTATGATAGCAAATCAGTATCAATAGATTCTTCATTAATTATATTTTCATATAGTATATCTATTTGATGTCATAATATTTATGATAGCAAATCATTATAATTAGGAAATGAATGTCATTGCTAGTTGAAGCATTGTCTTAAAAGTTTGGCTTGTTCGGCTTGTTGTGTGTTTTCTCTCTCAACAACTATCTCAAAGTTCAGATCAAATGAGCGGGGCCAGGTAAAGACTAGACATGACAGTGTCCTTATGTTATATATCACTGCTAGGTACGTCTAAGAAATGGTGATAAGCAAGCTCCCCGTACCACTATCGATTGTCCACTGCCAGATCCAATTACTGTGGTAAATTCCAAGTTTGGACCCGACGAGGAGTGTTTAACATTCTGCCATTATATTTCCAGTACAATGAATTTTGGAGCATAACGTAGAACATGTCACACAGTACACACCAATAGAGAATAGACCTTTCATCCGAGACTAAAATAGGCTCTAGTCCTGACATTTTTTGCGTCCGGGACTAGAGAAACCTTTAGTCCCGGTTGGTGTCTTCAACCGGGACTAAATGCCAACCTTTAGTCCCGGTTGGTAACACCAACCCGGACTAAAGGGTCTACCTTTAGTTCCTGTTGGTGTTACCAACCGGGACTAAAGGTCTCCCGATGGGTTAGTTTAAAAGGGAAGCATCCCATCCATTGTTAGATGTGTTGTGTAGGTGGGGAGGTAAGCTACGCGCGAGGCAATGCATGAGGTCTTGGGTTCGAATCTCATGGGACGCAGCGGTGGGAGGTATTATTTTTTTTAAAGCTATGAGGACCTTTAGTCCCAGGTTCCCGACCCGGGACTAAAGGGATATATATATATATATATATATATATATATATATATATATATATATATATATATATATATATATATATATATAAGCATAGATAAATCAGGTTTAGTTAGTTTGGCACTGTCACACAAATACATGGCTTATTGCGGTGTGCATGCACGTACGTAGACGGCAGCTTATTCATACACTGGATGACGACGACTTTTTTTTTTGAGGGTGGATGACGACGACTTATTCATATGGAGGCGTGGTAGCCATATTATATATTCCATCCGTTCTAAACTATAAAAAGTTTTGGCTTTTCTAAATTCATAATTTTTCCTACACATCTAGATATACAATTATGTCTATATACGAAATAAAAACTAGTATGTATCTAAAAATATCAAAACGTCTTATTATTTAGAACAAAGGAAGTAACTTATTATTAGGTGGAAGCTTTTAGGCTTTCAAGACGTTTTCAAGTCTACGAACATCTTGAAAGGCGTTCTCAAGTCTATGAAGATCTTGGGTAACTGCTACTACCAAAGGAGTAACTAACAGCATGTTCGTTTCGACTGAAACGATCATGAATTATTACTGCTGGCTAATTTGGTGTGAGAGAAAAATACTATTCTGACTTATAATTCATGATCGTTTACGACCAAACGAACAGACTGTAAATCCCTAAAAACCTCCATGTTGTTGGTGACTTGTTCCACCACTACTACGATGTCATTTATGGTCCCGAGGTCCTGCGTCGGGGTGGCATTACCACCTTTCAGCCTGTTCGTTTGGCTGTGGCTTGTCGTATATGATCGTAAATTTCCAGCCGGAACAATATTTTTCTCTCACACAAACCAACCAGTAGTACTTCTTAATGAACCAGCCACAAAACGAACCAACCAACCAAACATGTTATTTGTCGTTGCCGTTGTTGGGTTGTGCTACTGCAGAAGAAGCCAGAAGCACAAGAACCATGGCGAAGATCGGAAATAGGACAGCAGGGGATGATATGGATTTGGAGGCCATTGCTGGATGCCCTTAATGAAACTGCTAATCTGAATGGGTTCGTGCCTTCAAGCATCTCCGCACACAGCCCCTATTTATAGGTGTGCCACACGTACTTTGCTGCATCCGTGCCAAAATTTCAAATGAAAATGTGCCCACGGACGACACTTGGGTCATTGACCCCAATACTAAAAATGCATATCTGATTTATCGCTGCTTAATTTTAAGGGCTTGTTTTGATGAGCTAGAGCTAGTTACTAGTTACTAGTTACTAGTTGGGCTAAAAATTAGTTCAACTTAGCCAAGATTAGCTGCTAGTTGGCTAACAGCTAGTTCAAGACTTTCTAAAAAATTAGCCCTCTTATTTGGATGGAATTAATTTTTAGCTAGCTAGTGATTAGCTCTTGTATTCAAACATGCCCTAATTGTGGACATGATATCCTTGAATGATTATTGCAAGTATGCGAAAAAAACTACACTTCTAATTTATTATTAGGGGAGGTAATACCTCACCCTATAGATACTACGTTACGTATTATATGACTTATTACAAAATCTAAAAAGATATGATATGTACGAACAAACCTATCAAAAAATATTGACGCTTAACATGAATATTGATAGTATGTGAAGAAAAGCGCATATCTAATTTATTAGGGTACTAGCTCACACTATAAATACTACTACGTGCTATTGGGTTACAAAATCTGAAAAGGTATGCTATATATGAAGAAACTTGTCAAAAATACTGCAGCTTAATTATGGATATGACCTTGCATGAACATTAAAACTATGTGAAGCAAAATACACTTCTAATTTATTAGGGTACTAACTCACTCTTATAGATTGTGAACTCTGAAGGCGAAGAGTGTTAGAATATTAGACAATTTCAGTACCAATTTAATCTAGAAAAATATTAATAACATGTTTGTGATATCAGACATGTGCATGTGTGATCTAAGTGCACCGAACATGCACATGATACTAATAATCATGATTTTAATCAATGAAAACAAAGGACGGGTTGCAACGACAGCATACCCAGGGCACCAGAGCCGACACTAGTGGACATAGCGGTTGTCGATGTAGTTGTCCCGCTGATCGATGCCGTGCAGGTGAGTTGCAGTGCCGATCACCACGCAAGTCGCCGCCGCCGGGAAGTAGAGAAAGTTGTGGATCGATCGAGCAGTCGCGTGGAAGACGCTCCTCAAAAACCTGATTGCCGGTCTTCACCCAAGCAGATGAACTCGTGAACGGCGCCGGTTTCGAAGGCCTGCTCTCCCTATTCATGTGCGTGTAGGAACTAGGACGGGGATGGCAGAGAACAACTCAACAGTGAATTGGTGAGACGTGGTTGTGTGTCATGTGCTCGCGGATAGGAGGAGAGCGCCACCTTATGTACCCTTCCAGGGACACGAAGAGACATGCGTGGTGGTTGATAATAGTCATGAACACCATGTATGTTACTAGTAACTGACAAATAAATTGTCCATTACTAGTAACCCACTAATCAACCCGGTTGATAATGGCATAAAGACCACATTTGTTACTAGTAACTAACATATCAATTGTCCGTTACTAGTAACTCATTAATCAACCATTAACCCACCTTAAAACATCCCACTAATGGCTATAACACATCATGAGTTTCACCTAGCATTAATCCTAACCTTGAAATTTCCTTTGGTTTAATTGCTAAATATAATTGGTCAATTCCAATTAAATCCAACAATCCCCACCAAATTTCAAAGCATAGAAGTAATGCCCTCAGTTTCGCTTATTGTTTAATATACCAGTGTTTTAGTGGAGACCGTTAAGTTGAACATCCACCTAGAACAGAGGTTATACTTCTTCACAACTAAACAATGGACTATGCCTTGAATTGACAGTTTTGTGCGAAATAAGTTTCACCTAAGTCCTTTACTGATACAAGGTTGCCTAAAGCATCCCCTCTGGTTGGAGCATATGAGTCAAACCCCTAGGCCTTTCATGAGTATCTAGAGATTACCCACATCTCATAGACCGTGACTTCATTCGAACTCATATAGGTATGTTCCTTCTAAGATGTCCTGTAGGTCGACATCTAAGCTTAAATAAGCCACTCAGATCATATTAAGGTATAAACCAACATGCCATACAGCATAGGTGAGATGTGCACCTCAAACGATATTGACCTTATTATAAAGGATTTCTCCATCACAATCAACCACTAGCTTGTTTCACCATCCTACTTCACGGGATCTCTGATCACATAGGACAGGTTACCACTGTGGAATGACTTCACATGGGTCTCAAGCCCATCTCCCTCAATGCACTATCTATCACGTTATGTGATAGACACTTTATGAATTGATCTGCCATATTCTTAGATGCATGGACATAGTCCAACGCTATTACTCTAGAGTTTCTCAGTTTTCTGACAGACTTCAACCGCATTTTCACATGCCTTGTAGACTTTATGTTATCCTTAGAACTGTTCACTTTGATTATCACTGTTTGATTATCACAGTTAATGAAAATAGCTAGTATCGGTTTTTCATCTACCAATAAATCCTTAAGTAGTTCACGAAAACCACTATGATGTGAGTTTTGCTTCCATTGTTGACCTCATTAAGATGGTCTGCTTGCAAGACTTCCATGAAACAGCACCACTAAACCCTAAACCCGGGGGCGCGTTAGAGACCTAGACTAGATATACTCCCTCTATCACAAATTATAAGTCATTCCAACTTTCTTATAGAGTCAAAGCATCTCAAGTTTGACCAAATTCATATAATAAAATAATAATATTTATGATAGCAAATCAGTATCATTAGTGTCGGGTTCATAAACCCGGGGTCCCCAAAGGACCCACTTTCCAGCAACACTCGGCCTAGTAGGCGGCGCAGCAACAAGCGTGCCTGGGCCGGCCTAAATACATGATGACAGGCCGAGACCATGATCCGGCCTCCGACCGCCGCCCCCAACCAAAAGGGGCGGCGGGCGGGACCACAGTCCAAGTTCCTCTGACCGAAGATATGCCGGACTTGTGCGCACCGTTCTCTCCCGACCGACACGGTCGGGGCCGACCGAGAACGACAGACCGGGGATGCCCGCTTGGTGTGGGCCCAAGGAGCAAGTGGAGCAGATAAGGGAAATGCACCCAAGTCAACCGCAATACCGAGGACCATACCTGCCATGCCCTGTGCACATATTGGGTGGTGCTACTGGGCCATGTCGGACAGACACTGTGCGGCCTGCCCGACGGGATGGAACTTGAACCGATATGGTGGGTGGTGTCGTCTGCCGTGCTAGGCGGACACAGTGCAGCCTGCCTGACGCGACATGACATAAATAGTATGGCGAGCGATGGCCATGCCGTACCCGATGGCATGGGCGACGATAGGATTAGGCTACACCTGTACACCTTTTCTCTTTCCGTCTTTGACTTGTAAGGCCATCACCTTCGACTATAAAAGGGGATGCGCTCTCTCTCTTTAGGAGGGATAGCTAAGTTACACGAGTACAACTCAGGTACTCAGGCTGGACACTCGTAGATGCACACACGTAGTTCTGCCTCCCTAGAACTTAGCGCATGTTTGAGTCCCCGTCGCTCTCCTCCACTCGGACCAGAGTCCGACAGGGTCTCAAGCACCTCCCTTCTCATTCCTTACTCGTTTGTACCCCCATAGCAAACTTTGAGCACCTGGGCTCAGGAATACAATCACTGACTGACCTCAAACTGGACGTAGGGCCCGTTACCCGAACCAGTATAAATCATATGTCATTGTGTGCTAGGCCACATCCAATCTAACATACGGCAAAACTATAAATATTTACTTGTCGGCCACATTTCGCACCGACAGTTGGCGCCGTCCGTGGGGAAGACGTCGTGCGTTCGTGCTTTTGGTCATCGGATGACCCACCTTTCTGCCATTTTTGGCATGACGAGCTCGAGCGATACGATTCGCTTTAGCTCATTGGAGTTTCCCGCACCACAGCTCAGTGGGATGTGGGTCCCTCCCATCTTCGCGCCGTTCCAGACCTTCCGCTTTGGGAGTCTGGACTTCGTTGCCGACCAGCTCAGCATACTCTGCCTCCGCAAGGAGGCACTCGCCCCAACGTCCCTAGGAGGAGGAGTGCCCTCCATGGGCCCTGAGCTGCTCGACGACCTCTATGTCGAGATACTCGTGCTCCACCTCGAGTCTGCGTTGGGCTCGAACCCCACGGTGAGTAACGTGATTATTTTTTTGTAATCACTGTTTAACACTTTTCACCAACTCTCTAGAAGGACCATGTTGTCTTTGCCACGATTGCCGCCCCCTCTCATGTTTGAGTTTGTGGGAATGGCGGGCTACGCCCCTGCCCCCTTCCACGACCTCATCTATGAAGAGGTCGAAAGTGACGGCTTTAGCATCGGCGACTTTATGGCACCTAGCCATCCTCTGTCCCGGGAGTGCACCATGGCGGATGCCCCGGAACAGCTACCGGAGGTGGTGGAGTCCTGGCATACTCACACCCCTCGGACCCTCATGCGCACGCCTTGGCGCATGCGTAGGAGCATTGTAATGAGTTGCGACCGTGGTGGCAGAACCGAGAGCCACTTGTGCCGACCCATCCAGTGCAGCGCCCTGAGCCGTGCGCGTAACCCGACGAGCGGCACTCGAGCCTGCGCCCGCCAGGTCCAGCATAACATCCTAGCTAGAGGGGATGATCCCGCTCAGTTTGCTCAGGATGACCAGAACATCGCTATCGTGGCAATGCTTCTGCGCAGCCTCCTCGAGCCTACCGACCCTCAGGAGCAGGCCATCCATCAAAACCTCTGGGCGCTAGTGGAGACTGCCGCCATCCAGCAGGCGGAAAGCTCTGCGTTGCGACATCGACATGCGGCCTCTTGCCCGACCAGGGGACTGAGGCCGCACCAGTCAAATCGCTCTAACCACCCATCATAGCAATCGCCTTGGGTGGGACAGGGCGCCGCGATCACGCCACAGCCCGACTCGGCACCCGCTCCACGTTGATCGCCTGTGCGTGAGCGGCTCGGGCCGAACCACGACGCTCACAACATCATCAACCAAATGGCGGCGAGTGCGGGCGGTACAGGCCCCAGCCGGCCCACCGA